ACACCACAAAAGGTTCACTCGGAGTCGGCAATACTAACACTGCTGCCGTAGTCAATTTCTTTTTCAGTTTCTCAAAGCTTTCTTCACAAGCAGCATCCCACATGAAAACTTGATTCTTTCTCGTCAACTGAGTCAATGGCAACGCCAAATTAGAAAACCCTTCAATAAACCTTCGGTAGTATCCTGCCAAACCCAAAAAGCTTCTAATTTCCGCCGTTGTCTTTGGCGGTTCCCACTGCAACACTACACTCACTTTCGATGGGTCCACCGATATACCATCACCGGATATTACATGCCCCAAGAAACTCATTGTCTTCAACTAGAACTCACACTTTGATAGCTTAGCAAACAACTTATTATCTTTCAGCGCCTGCAAGGCAATTCTCAAATGTCCTGCATGTTCTTCCTCAGACTTAGAATAATTCAGTATGTCGTCAATAAACACAACAATGAACCGATCCAAATAAGAATGGAAAATTCGGTTCATATACTCCATAAACACTCCCGGCGCATTAGACACTCCAAAAGGCATTACAGCATATTCGTAATATCCATATCGAGTTCTAAATGCCGTCTTCTGAATATCACCTTCTTTTACTCTGATCTGATAGTAACCCAACCTCAAGTCAATTTTACTGAACACCCTAGCTCCCACCAACTGATCCATCAAATCATCAATCCTTGGAAGAGGATATTTATTCTTAATGGTCACTTTATTCAACTGACGATAATCGATGCACAGACACATACTGCCATCCTTCTTCTTTACCAACAACACTGGAGCTCCCCACGAAGACACACTCGGTCTGATAAACTTTATATCCAATAATTCCCTAATTTGAGATTTCAATTCAGCCAATTCCACTGTCGACATCCTGTACGGCGCCATAGATATAGGTCTTGTACCAGGAACAAGGTCAATACTAAATTCAACTTCTCTCGTCGGAGGTAATTCTGTAATGTCATCAGGAAACACTTCAGGAAATTCATTCACCACTGCCAACTCTTTCACTGATGTCTTGTTGTCAACAGACAATGACGCAAATAAAGCAAACATCTTAGCTTCGTCCTCCAACAGGGTCCTCAATTCCTTATTAGACAAGGAATCCGCCAACGCTTCCTCTTCTAGAGTAAGGAACAACAACACCTTTCGAAAATAATCGATGTAGACTCGGTTGAACTCTAACCAGTTCATACCCAGAATAACATCCAAGTTACCAAGTGGTAGACAAATCAGGTCTACTCCAAAGTCTCTACCAAAAATAGTCAGTGGACACTTCAGACACACTAAAGAAGTAGTCACTGAACCAATAGAAGGAGTTTCAATAGTCATCCGTCGATCAAGAGTAGACGGCACCAATCCTAACCTCTTCACACAATCAACAGAAATGGATGAGTGGGTTGCACCCGTATCAATAATAGCAGTCAAAGGAATATTATTGATGAAACAAGTACCTTTGAGAGAACGCTCTTCACTGGCAACTTGAGTTCCCACTACAGCAAACACTTTACCACTGGCCTGAGACGCCTGAGACTTCTTCGGCTTCTTGCAATGCGTACTGATATGACCTTTCTCACCATAGTTATAACAGGTAGGCATAGTGGCTCTGCAATCAGCTATCACATGGCCTAGCTTACCATACCTAAAGCACTTCTTCACCTCATTAGGACACTCATTAGCACAATGCCCCGCGCCACCACACCGGAAACATTTCAAATCGACAGATGCTTTCCCCTCTCTGGGTTTCTTATCAGCAGCAACCTTATGTTTTCCCTTATCAGTAGGAACACTGTAAGGAGTACCACACAACCTCTGCTTACCTTTACGGTCATTCACCGCCTTATAATGTGCAATCCTGGCCCTGTTATCATTATCGTAAATCCTGCTTCTGCTTACCAGCTTAGGATAATTCCTGATCTTCTGACAAGCAATCCCCAACTTAACTTCCGGATGCATCCTATTCTCAAACTTCATACACTTAGAGGTCATTGCATCCTCAGTATTGTAATGAGGACAATACTGCACCAGCTCTTCAAATTTCGCAGCATACTCTGCTACGGTCAGATTACCCTACTTAAGCTCTAGGAACTCTACCTCCTTAGCACTTCGTATGTCTTCCGGAAAGTACTTCTCCAGAAAGCCCTTTCGAACTACATCCCAAGTGATCGCAGTTCCCGCAGTCACCCATCTCTGGCGACTGTTGTCCCACCAAGCCTCAGCTTCACCTTCCAGCATGTGAGTACCAAACCTCACCTTTTGCTCATCATTATAACCCATTGTCCTGAAAATTTTCTCAATCGCCTTCAGCTACTTCTACGCAGCTTCAGGATCCAAAATTCCTCCTTCAAACGTCAGCGGCTTGTTACTCTGAAACTATGCCAAATCCCCAAATTGTGCACCCGTAGCTTGGTTCTAATTAGCAACCACCTGCGTCATCGCTTGCATAGCAGCAGCCAAAGTATCATCATTCCTTCCTGCCATACTGCTCAACAATAACAACACCAGGTTAAAAGATACACAATCTCTATCCTAAGGACAGACTCAACAACTACACTGGCCGGACGGACGGACCTGCTCTAATACCAATTGTAACACCCCACTTCCCGAAATTAAATAAAATGCGATTATTCTAAATAAACATCAGAGTCTCCCCTCAACAAGTGGGATATCACAAAAAATAATACATAATACTTTTCGTTAGAAGGTTTTTAAAACGAGGCAGCGGAAATAATCCTTAATTCATCATTCTCGGCCATCCGCCAAATTACATAAAAGATTCATTAAAATGTTCACCAACATGATACGTCACAGGAAATAAAACAAGTTCAACATAAAAACAAATGAACACCCAAGTCCCGTGCTACGTATCAGAGCATCCTAAGACTCGACTCGCACACCATTATCTAAGCTAGCTAAGTACCTGGATTATCTGTACTTCCGAAGAAGCATAGACCACAACAACAACAAAGGGGTGAGAAAACATGATTAAAATTATCGGTAATAAAATACATGAAATAAAGGTAGCAATCATATAATTCATCACCCAACATTCATCAAACATGACCTACTGTCCAACATCAATACAACACACCATAATGCAATTATGCAACTCAACACCATGCATGCAATACCAACTCATTGGTTCATTCAATCGAACCCCGGATAGATCACATACACCCATCCTTGGCCATGATCTGTCCCCACCATTCTCCACAATGGAGTACGGATGAATCACATACACTCCTCCTGAGCAATGATTCGTCCCACCAAACACCATGATATGCATAACACCAAATGCACAACAAATGAACTCAAGCACACAAGGTGCACACGATCCCCTGATCACATCACCATACATCATACATACGTATTTATTCATCAATTAATTATTTTAATTAAAGTCACACGATCCCCCTGATCCCATCACCATACTCTATACATATCTCACGCCCCAATCTACTTATTTCAATTAACCTCAATCACTACATAATTTCACCTTTTAATGCCAAGTATACACTCTTCACCACTAATTACCATATCTATACTGGTCACAACTCAAGGGATACTACAACACGAATCCCAAAGCAGAACAGCACAAAATCACATTTCTGTCACGCTCGCTGGACCACTCGCCTAGCGAGCTCCTAGCGAGTCGCTCGCTACTGCTCGCCTAGCAAGCAAGCTCACGAAGGCTGTCTGGAACCTACTGGAAGCATTCGCTACCCACTCGTTGGGGCTTCGCCTAGCGAACCCCTTCGCTACCTCCTTCGTTTAGAGAACACGCCAGTGAACCTGATTTTTGGCTACTGGAACTACTCGCTTAGCAAACACGCTAGCGATTCCCTTGCCACCTTGCTCGCCTAGCGAATGTGCTAGTGAGCTTCCGCGTACTCAATTCCCCAATTGTGCAAAATGTCACTTCTGATCAATTTCAAGCCTATTCTACTTCATATTTCTTCTATCCTATTGTTACTACAACCATTACACAATATTCTACTCAAAATGTTCCTAAAATCCCCTCTCCAGAACCAATACCCATGTTCATTAACAGAACTACAGAAGTTACTCAGAATCCCCCCAAAATCATAACAACAATGTATGCACCAAATTCATCAATATCATTTACCAAATTCACCAATATAAACAACAACAACAACAGACATACCAACATGCGAATCATATTCATAAAATCCCTATGGGGTTAAGGAATCCCCTCTACCCAATTTCATGTAAACACCAATCCCAATCAGTTTCTCCCCCTTACCTCGATTAATGCTCCGATTGACGAAGAACCTGAAGAATCGTTAGACCTAGCCCTCTCCTCTTCCTCCTTGTTCTTCCTCTTTACTCTTCTCTCTAAAACTGACTTATCGTGTTCTAACTCTCTTTTCCCCAAAAATCCTCTTTTATATCTCTTATTCCTTATTTCACTTATTCCAATAATAATAATAATAATTATTATTATTATTATTATTAGATTATTATATAGGAATTATTTAATAAAATATAGATTTTAATAATAATATAATATAATTAATAATGATGATAATCTAATAATTATTATTATTAATAATAATAATAATAATAATAATAATAATAATAATAATAATAATAATATTACTAATTATTAGATTATCATCATTATTAATTATATTATATTATTATTAAACTCTATATTTTATTAAATAATTCCTATATAATAAAGACACCCACCAACGCTCTCAGACACACCCTCATATAAAGGCACACCAAAAAAACTAAATAATTAAAATGGGTGTTACATATACCGATACCAATAGATGTTGTGCATGTTCATTGGAGAAAACTAAGTATGGAAGTTATGGAAAAGGTTTAAGTAACTGGATGTTGTTGGGAAAAGGGCATTAAAAAGTAGGGTTTTTGAACTTGCCTTCCCCATAATGACTTCTATGTGTCCACCACCTGAGAAAATAAAAACTAAAGGGGGAGTCACGAAAAAAGACAAAAAAACCAGTAGGATATGATGTTTATAGAGACCCTTTGTATCACGAGTATTTCACAGAGGCAATCTCAACCATCACAAACTTCGAAGAATTTGAAATTATCACAGTCTTCACAAAAAAAATCTCAACCATCACAGGCTTCGAAGAAGTTGAAATTATCACAATCTTCACAGTCATCTAAGCAGTTCATCCTTCAGTTTCCTAATCACATCAGGTCATATATTGATGATGTAGTTAATGTTGTATCAGATGGTAATTATGGATTTAGAGTCATTGCTTCATTGCATGGATATGGTGAAGATGGTTGGCCAATGGTTCGTCGAGACTTGGGGTTGGAAATAATACATAATGAAAGATCAAGTTTGTATGCCAATTTATTTACTGATCAGTTAGCATTAGTGAGAGAATCTTTGATGATAGAGGAATTTGATCCTCAACCACCATATAAATGGTTAACTCTACCAGATATGGGTTACGTGATATCGAATCGTTATAATGTTGTACTTGTCTGTTTAGGAATTGAATGCTGGACTTTCTTCCCTATGACAACTTCATTTTCACCAAATGTATCAATTTACTGCATTGGTTTTGTAAACAGAAATCATTGGGTTTAGGTACTTAGTTGTTTTTAGATAATGCGATTAAACCTAATTCTTTTTTGTTATTTTTACTTAATATTTTGATTATTTTTTTTATTTAGGTAAACATGAAAGAAGGGTTTCCATTGCCACCAGTGACAGTAGATTGGAAGAAGTTTCGTTCTCCAGCAGCAACATCTTGGATGATAGGATTTACAGGACGTCTACAACATTGGCAACAACTTACGCCTATATTACCAACACATTATGAATTATAAATTATGTTACTCATTTTTTATTTCAAAACATGAATCATGAATTATGTTATTCATTTTTAATTTCAAAACATGAATTGTGAATTATGTTACTCATTTTTAATTTCAAAACACGAATCGTGAATTATGTTATTCATTTTTAATTTCAAAACATTAATCGTGAATTATGTTACTCATTTTTAATTTCAAAGCATGAATCGTGAATTATGTTATTCATTTTTTATTTCAGGCTACAAGTTAACACATAAACATAAACCAACTAGGTCAAATGAGTCTAAAAGTTAACACATGAACATAAACCAATTAGGTCAAATGAGTCTAAAAGTTAACATATAACCATAAATATAAATATAAGTCACTATGATCCACCAAGATGTAAAGCTTCGAACAAATCAGTAAACTGTGGGTCATCCTCTTCAACACCAGCCTGTTGAAGATAACGATGAATTAATGAAGACATACGAGCCAATATATGATCAGATGGTCCTGTTTCATATACAGGAACTGGCATCTCTGTTGTCGCATCACGATTGGACGGTACCAGACGAGGATGCGAAACACGATAATACCACTCAAGATATCCATCATCTGTCTCATATGGGGTAGTGGCTGGTGCTTTCGAATGAATCACATCCTGAACGCTCTGATGGTAACTAATCCAGTCAACATCAATATCACCAGCCATTCGAGAATCAAGAGGTGGATGTGGAACATACTGCCTGTATCCAAACTGACGCATACATCTGTCAAGCAAGTATGGAACAATAGTGTCACCCCACCTCAGACACCCCTTATATAGACATAATTCATCAAACTGATGCCATACTCTATGATTCTCGAATGGGTGCCATATGACATCGGCAGGTGTCAGCTCGTCCAAAATAGGTCGCAAGTCATCCACCTTCAAGTCACCTTGCCTATAGGACCATCTCATCGCTCGAGGGAGACCCACATTATTAGCTGGAATCCAGTTCTCTCCTCTTTTTCCAAGTGTTGGAAAATACTCATGAATCCAACACTGTTACAAAATTAATATGGTTATTAAATTTAAAATAATTAATTATAACATAATAAACTAGATAAATAAAATTAATATACTAGATAAAATTAATTAAAACAAAATATACTAAATTAAAATAAATACCTGTAAGAGAGTCGGATAACCACCAAGCTGCTTACAACTAAACATGGAAGCATCTCCAAGATATCTATAAAGAGTAACCAACGCAGCTACTCCCCAACTGTATCCTGATAAGCCATCTAAGTCTATAAATAGTGCGAGGTATCGTGCCTCGACAAGCGTAAACGTCTTGTCTGCAAAAATAGTGGAACCCACTAACATCAGAAAATAAGCTCTAGTGGTATAATTCCATCTAGATGCAGCTCTATGCTCTACGAATCGATCATATAACCACTCCAACTTATAGTAGGAACCCCTGCAGTCACAGACTTGTTATTGTGCTACTCTTTGTGACACTCCTAAATAATCAACAGCAAGCACTTCACTGATATCTTGAGGGCTCCAGAAGACTCCCCTGATGGGCAAGTGAAGCAAGCAAGATACGTCATCTAGAGTAATCGTCATCTCACCAAACAGCATGTAAAATAAAGATGTCTCTAGATGTCATCTCTCTGCAAATGCGGAAACCAGGTTCTTGTCTATCTTTGTTAAACTGGTTCTCTGGAGTGAAGCTAGACCAGACCTAGATATCCAGCCCTCCATCTTTCTGGGTAGCTGTAGTGGAATCCTCTGAATCAACTTCAACCCATATCCCGCTATCTTTAACTATTTCTTCGACCCTCTCTCCTGAAAACAATTAAAAGTAAATATATTATAAAATTCAATATTAAAAATTCGAATTCTATTCAATATTAAATAATTTTCGTTTACTTACCTCACCGAACCATATATGTCTAGCAACATGATTTTCGTACTTAACTAAAAGAGAGGTATCATATGGTCCTCCTAGATATCCAACAGGCTCGGATGCTGATGCAGATGCATCAAAATGCTCTTCTTCAGTCATTCTCGATGACTCGCCCCGTCCTAGTCCACGAGGGATCATACCATCTCTGCCTCATGTGTGCACCACTGACAAAATAAATAAATAAATAAATAAAATTAAAAATTAAAAATAAAATAAAAAACATGAACCTGAAGACTTGACCAAAGACTTCCGGTGAACAAAACGTAAAACGTATGTTCCGGAAGACTTAATCAAAGACTTCCGATGAACAAAAGCAAAAAATCATGAACCGGAAGACATGCATTAAGTCTTCCGGTGAAGAAACCAAAAAAAACTACAAACCGGAAGACATACATAAAGTCTTCCGGTGAACAAACCAAAAAATTCAACAAACCGAAAGACTTACTATTGGAGTTCCGATATGTGTAGGTGAAAAAATGTGTTTTGGATGACTTGTTGGAAGAGTTTCGGTTTGTATGTAAAAAATGAGTGCTCCGAAAGTGTTGAAATGCAAATGAAGTGAAATTGAAAAAATTTCTTAAATTATAAATATTTAAACAAGGGTATTTTGGTCCAATATTTTTAGTGTAGGGGTGTGGGTATAAGTGTAGGGGTATGGGGAAAAATTTCCATAAAATAACTATAAAAAAAGGAAAACGGGTTTTGGATGATCTCAAGCCCACTCGCTTCAAAAGAGAAGCACCTTGAAGCTTCTCTCCGTCCTCCTCTCCACACAAAGAGACCCAATCGAAACCCTAATCAGGAATGAAAAAAAGGATTATCAATGATGGTTTTTCTAATCCCTCTCATTCTTGTTGCAAATTTGTATGAGTTCTTCTGGATTTTCTGAATGTGTGTGTATATGAGTATGTTCATTATTTTACTGCTTGTTGTAGCACCCCAAAATTTGCCATTCCGTTTTAACCTTAGCTGGCTTTTGTTTCTCTGCATTTCGCATTTTTACATGTCATAGCATTTTTTCTTGAGCCAAGGGATCAAGGTTTTCGTGTGGCTCAGAGTTTTCTTTAGTGCAAGAGTTCAAACAACGAGCATCGACTCTGGCATTTATTTTTCCCGGAAATCGAACGGCCGATATTATTTTTATTTTGAAGGATATTTTTAGCTCAGGAGGCAACACTGAAGTTATCTCAAGCATTCTCACAATTATAGTATTCAAGGGCAAGTTTTAGAAGCTTAACCAGGCCCAAAACGGATGAAAACGGGCAAATGTGCACTTTTCCCTCCAAAAGGCGCCAAAATTCAAATTTTTAAGGTGTTAACCGATTAACCCATATGGTTAACCGGTTAACCAAGGAAAAATCAGGTCAAATTTGAAGTTTTAAGGATGTTAATCGATTAACCCAAATGGTTAACCGATTAACCAAGACAAATTTTGCCTCTGCACGTGAATTTTCAAAAGGCAGCCACTTTGGGATCCATTTTGATCAATTGAGAAATTGATTTCACACCAAAGGAAGGATCTAGAACCACTTTGAATTTTGGTTAATTTTCAAAATCAATTCAAATTCCCTCCAAATTCCCATTCCAATTCTCATAACCACATTCCAAACCACATTTAGATCCCAAACCAAGAGCATATTTAATTGATTTACTCCAAACCTCACACACACAATCCTCGTAATCTCATTTCATTTTCAGAATTCACTCTCATTCTCTCAATTTTCTCTCAACTTATTCACTCCAAAACCTTCATTAGAGTTCTCACCTTGAATTCTTTGATTCTTTATTGGAATCATTGAACTCTAGAGCTAAACCTTCATCCTTCATCCTTATTATCCACAATTCTCCATCCAATTTTCGTGCTAATGTGGATCTGAATTTGGAAGTGGATCTAGAAGAGCTTATTTGGTTTATTTTAGCTTAATTTTGGTGGATCTTCACTTCTACAATAAGAAATTACTTGGATCTTGAAGAATCTCTGGGTTTCTTGCTTGGATCTGCTCAATTGAAGTTTAATCAACAATTACCAAAGCAAATCTCCGCTTTGTAGGTTGGAATTCTAGATCTGTTGCTATTTTGAGCTTATTTTAATATTTAATGTGGATCTTCATTTTTGATTGACTTTTGGTTGATTTGATCCATGTGATTTGAGATCTTGCTATTTTAATGTGTTTACATGTTGATTGAATCACTGTTTTCTGGTTTAAATTCGTGCATAAGTGATTATATGATCATCTGGATTATTGGAGAAGTGATTAATTGCTGAGAGTGCTTTTGAATTTTTGTTTTTCTGCTTCTGGTACAGTGTTAATCGGTTAACCAGTGCGAATTTTCAGATTTTTTAAGTTTTTTCAATGGTTAACCGGTTAACCATATGTGTTAACCGATTAACACTGAAACAGAATGTGTTGTTTGCTATTTTTGAGCTTGTTTTGGGTATCATTTCACTTTGAATCTTCATGGATTATTATGATGCATTTGAGTGAGATGTTTTGGATATTGTGTTGTTGTTCTTGATTGTTTAATCATGATTGCCTCGATACGTGTGTTCGCTTTCCACTTGAATGTATGCTTATGGATATGGTTCAAAGTGATGATCATTTTGAATTGTTTCCTTTGCTTGCATTGCTTGGTTGAGATGTGCTTGTGGTGGCTGTTGTCCCACACTTTTCTCCCCCCACTTTCCTTTGATGATTGAAGGAAGCATTTCATGTTTGCATTTCATATTTCATTTCTGTCTATTTGCGATTGAATTACTTTGTGTTTTCTTGGTCTTTTGCCATGATCCCTTAGGATTCCTAGTCCCTCGGGAGTAGGAGAGACATTAGGTGTTCAATCTAAGCATGCTAACATTAGGGTAAAATTTCCCCCTTTTCATCCCAACTTTAGGACCACTTTGCATGACTACATTAGGGTCGAGTTTCCCTTAGACCTTCTGTGCGTCTCTCTTCTCATATCAAAACACATTCTAACTCATATAATAAATACGAAGAATGTTGTACGATATGAGCCTTAAGCACACGTGGACTGATAAGTGAGGGGTCTCCTCTCGCTTGTCTAGAGTGTTTAGTGTACGTCCCGTCTGGGGGTAAATATGCGACGCATTCATTCATATGTCATAGTCTTTAGTGTAACATGAATCACAAACCAAATTAATTCACTTCACTAAAACTCACAAACAAAACTCAAATATTTTTATCCTTCGGGATTAATTCAAAATCATTTTCATAAAGAGAGTGTTGTTAACTCTTGGTTCTATCGCAAACAGGCATCGTCCCTAACTGTGGAACGGAGGTTTAGTCCTACTCGATTAAAACACTTAACTGATCTCTGGTCCTGTCAGCTCGAACTATGTTTGCTCTGATTTCTCATACCAGATGAGGATATGTAGGCACAAGACGGCGATGTCTTGGCGAGCAACCTTTCCCCACCTTCACCCATAGTTTTTCGAACTAGGTTGACTCTGACTTTCCCATTGCATGAGGGAGTATGTAGGCATAGAGCAGCGATGCTCTATCGAGTCTCTTTTCTTTTCTTTTGTCCTGTGAGCCTGTAGCTTAGATAGATAAACACACCCTTTGATTAGACAACGAGCATGGATCCCGTTGAGTACAACGGACGTGAGGGGTGTTAATACCTTCCCCTTGCGTAACCGACTCCCGAACCCGAGATTTGGTTGCGATGACCTGTATTTTCCCTTTTCCGTAGGTTTTCTCTTATCGTTTCCTTTCCCTCTCTTTGGGATAAATAATGAGCGGTGACGACTCTTCTGTTTTTCCGCCGGGTGTGTTTTCGCAGTTGCGATAGCTGGCGACTCTGCTGGGGATTTGCCATAGTTCCCTATGCGAGTCAATCTTAGCGCTTGTCTGTTGTGCATCTCTGGGTTTCTACTTTTGCTTTATGTACATTATCTGTTGTATATTATTGCATTCACATTCTTTTATCATATTATGCTGCTGCTGTGTTGTGAGGTAGGTTGTTCCATTGAGAGATAAGCCTAATATCCAGGCTTGAGTATACACACAAGATTAGTATGGAGAGTAGCGGGAGCTTATGTGGCATTTGGCTATACAATAGCTCGTGCGAAATTCACGTCCAGACGAGGTTTTTCTTTGGAAATACTCTATTCTGCACGTCTGGTGCAGTTGAAGGAGTATTGACTTAGAAAGACTAACGACTCTGGAGACCGTTCATTGGGAAGTCAGCTAAGTGAGGCCGCTTCGTTATACCATGATGCCTAACTAGTAATGGTGAATGTATCATCGTTTCTCGAAAGTCTGTGACGCTGATGACCTGCATAGGATGACGTACCTTTCAAGACTAGAACCCACATGTGAGAGGGAATGGGTTTTGCAGGAAACTTTGGCCTCCAACCAACCCTGGTTTTCTCGTCAGTGCAGAATTTTGATCCTGA